ATATACCCATAAACTGAATCCTAGCACGACAATAAGGAATCAACCAGTGACACGTATATGACTAAAATAGAATGCCCGGTGAAAACAGTAAAATGGGAATTTGGAAACCTTTAGAAAAACATATACTACAAACAGATTTTTATCATATTAAAATAGCAATTAATCAGGCTCACTGTATTACTATTCAACTAAATACAGTCATACCTGAACCATATCATCACTTTTTTCTCTATATGTTGTTTACTTTGTTTTGGAGATATAACTAAGGTTGGAATATAACTCACTGTATAAAACATATATAAAAAGGAATTTATTCTGTCTAAATAATAACAAATAAGATTTGATATATTTTTTATCGTTATATTAGTCATGAAAATTGGATTTGTATGTAAAGTCAATTTAGCTAAGGATATCACGCTATAGAAGAGCTAACCATATTCACATATGTTTCTTCAATGTATAGCTTACAATACGTTATATAAAGTGATAAATGAATATTGGAACAATAATAAATACATAATTTTATCAGAAAAATGAAAATGCATCGTTAGAGGTAACGAGCTCTAATCCACTTTTATTGAGAATTAAATCTAATGGTAAATATTCGTTAAAATCTTTTAAAACTGAAATTGTTATACCAATTAGATTCACACTTGATAAATCTCGTATATAAGAAAATGCAGGCCCTCCGCTATCACCACTACAACCAGTTTGAAATAATTCCTTGCCAGCAAGGATATGATCCGTATCAATGATACCCAATTCGTCTGTTGTAGTTGCATTTATTCCTCTTACATATCCGCAAGTAGCACGTGTCCTCCAACCAGATTTACATAAATGAACACCATAACTATTTATAACTTTACTACCTTCAATAAATAATTCCGAATTAACAGAATCTGTATTCCTTATGAGTGTTGATTGTCCAACATCACCTATTAACTCGATATAACTAAAATCGTGAGTTGTATCAACAGGTTCTATTATTTTTCCAAGTAAAGTTGTAACATAATCAGTATCCCATGGCCTAATACGAAATGTTTGTTGAGCACTTCTAAAATTTCTATTAAGACAATGTCCTGCTACTACGATATAATTTATATTTGCATTTGATTTACTTCTTGCCCAAAAACCTGCCGAACACGTATCACCACTAATAGTATTATATACACCATCTCCATTAAGGATCTTAAACTTAATAAGACCCGTAGGGTTTCCATTTATGATAAAACTTGGGCTTTTTCTTTGCACTTGGCATCTAGGGTGTGGGGAAGCATTTGGTTGAATAAACATTACGTCATATTGGCTAGCTTCGTTTATAAACCTTGAATTTTTTGCATTATTATCTGTTTTAAAACGTATTACTACATTATTATGTGTCATATCAATGTAACATTGAATATTAATTGGTCTATATTTTTTAATCAATTCGACTATTTTTTTTAACTTGGATGTTAAAATATCCATGGAATTGTTTGCTGGTGCTTTTATAAACTCTATAAAATTTAAGAAATCATTTTGACTAAACTTTGGTGAATTTTTTATTTTATTTATTGCAGTAATGTCCACTGTATTGACAAATACTTTGTTCTTTTTTACATCTAAATATGTTCCTCCAAAACTTGAAGTAGAATCTTTAAGCAATGATTGTAAGGTTTCATCCACTTTGGTCAATTTTTCTTCAATAGCCAAAAAATTGGGTAATTGTTTATCTTCTACTTCCCATAAATCTGCTAACGCTTCTTTGGCATGAACTACTGAGTATTTTTTTAATATAAAAATTAACAATAATAATTTTAACAAAATGTAAATAGATCTCGTCATCGCAAAATATGATAATATTGAATAACGCTAAATAAAAACTAGATTTTGGGTTGTTTTTTTTTTAGATTTATAATTTATTGGACTCAGTCTCTGAAATAATCTATTAAATGATATAATTATGTAATTAATTTAAGTTCCAAAGGAAGTTGAAATTTGGGTTTTAAATAAGTTAGCTATCTAAGCTACGTATAATTATTACGAGATCAAACGACCCATAATAGCATAGGTTCATTTAATAGATAATCCGTTCGTCTATAGCCCATTCATAGACTAACTTCAAACATATTTCTAATACGAATCATAAATTTTCATAATTTTGTGTAGTCCATAGATGACAGCACAGTTATTTCGCCGACTTTTAATTCTAACCAACACTAATTCTAGATCAGGCTAACCTATATGTATGTCTAAATTATGTATACATCATTCGGCAAAAATTTGCCGAATAATGATGTTATCCGACAATTTATGATCATGATTGGTAGAGTTGTCGGCTGAGTTTAATTCGAGTAAGCGTAAATATTTCGTAACACATGAAAAAAAATAAAGACAGAAATAAATTCATGATAACAGGGGGTTTCAAAATTAAAATCAGAGAATCTTATTTTATTTCTCTAATTTATAATTCAACATAGTAAAAATGCTATTGAAAAAAACTTACTTATTTTCGAAATGCGTCACTTATTTGTTAAGTATGAAACCCAACAGGAGGAACCGTCGATGTTACACGACTTATCTTTCACCCGGTGTGCAACATATAAAAAAATTATTTTACAATACCAGATCATTCCGCTAGTACATGTTATGATTACAATCCCACACCATTTTATTATAATAAAAATGGTGTGGGATTATAATCATAACATGTACGTACTAGCGGAATGATCTGGTATTGCAAAATATTTTTTTTATATGTTGCACACCGGGTGAAAGATTAGCCGTATAACATCGAAGGTTCCTCCTGTTTGAAACCCCTAATAAGAGCTTGTCGGATAAATTAAATTACTATTTGGGATCTTTGTCTTGAAAATTACCTACCGACATTTCTGATCAAGCTAATTCGAACCTAAGTACCGGTTTAGGGATGGGAACGGCTACAGCTACAGCCGGCTATAGCCGGCTATAGCCATAGCAGATATTAGCCGAGCCGAGCGGCTTAGCCAGCCGGCTAAAATTATAGCCGATGCCAGATTTTTAGTGTCCTGGTTGAC